CTGTAAATAGATCAAGGTCTGATTTTTGATCTCTAGGCGTGTCCTTAAGTCAGGTCCGATGGGGTGCCATGCTCTGGCCCCAGTCTGTCCTTTGTACTCCCTCAGGGGCTCTCTGCTCTGCTCCCATGGTTGCTCTGCCGCAATCCTTTAGTGGTTTGCCTCTGTGTCACAGGGTCAGTCTGGGCCAGTCCCGAAAAAGACTGCCCTCTTAACGTTGAATTGTTTTTGCATCTTCATTAAAAGTAATTCAAGAATAGTTGTTTATTATAGTAATGGAATAGAATGCTTATGTATTCTGGACTTTATTCCATTCGTGTTTTTGTTTATCTTTGCCAACTCTTTTGATTAATTTAGATTCATAGTACCATGTTAGGTATTGGGAAACCTCTAATTATATTCCTCCTTTCAAATTATTTTGGCTATTTGTGTTCCTTTATCCTTTGATATAAAATTTATAACCTTAACTGTTGTGTTGATAGAGATTGTGTGAAAGCTTTAGATCAGTCTGGCAAACATTGGGTGGGAACATAAGACTGCATGCACATTGCAAAACGATGTGACCGTTCCTCCAAAGGTGGTCTGCTTTTCAAATAGAGTTACCATGTGGCTCGGCAGTTCTTCTCTCGAATATTTATTTACCTGAGAGAAATGAAAACAGAAGTCCACACAAAAAGCTGTACACTAATACTCATACAAACATTATTCATAATTGCCTGAGTGGAAGTAAACCACATGCCCCTCACCTGATGGACAGATAAATAAAGTGTGGTCTGTCTGTGCACAGTGCGATATTATTTGGTAGAAGAAAGACATGAAATATATGTTACAACCTGAAGGAACCTTGAGACCTTGTGCTGCTGGAACGTAACTAGCCACAGAAGTTCATGGATTGCTGGGTTCCCTCATAGGGAGTTTCTAGAATAGGCAAATCCATAGAGAAAGAAAATTGATTTGTGTTTGCCAGGGACTAGGGCGGAGAGGAGGAATGGGGAGCAATGCTAATAGGAATGACAGCTCTTTTATGTGGTGATAAAAGTGCTCTGGGAGTATTGTAGTGATGATTGCACATTTTGGAAATATACTAAAATCCAATCTCATTGTACATTTTAAAAGGGTGAGTTTTATGGCATATAAATTATATCAAAGTTATAAAAAAATTGTAGGGAAACTGACAATTATGTTGACTCTCGGAATCTATGACCATGCCCTTGTCTAGCCACGTGTTTTCATGTATTTTTCCCCCCAATATTTTGAGTTTATCACCATGTAGATCGTATAGATTTATTTTATTTTATTTTTTCAGAAGTTGTAAAATAAGTGGTCCTGTTGAACAATTCTGGTTTCCAGTTCACGACTGTACTGATTTTTGTTAATCAAGTTTATATCTTACAATCTTGTTGGGCTCACTTTTAAAGCTCCTTGAGCCAGTTTGTCAGATTTTTACATAGACAATCAGAATGCCATCTGTAAGTAGAACTAGTCTGTTTTCATCTTTCCATTTTGAATGGTTTTGTTTCCTTTTCTGTCTTATGCACACTGACTAGCACTTCAGTATATTGTTGAATAGGACTAGAGAGTACATATTTGCCTAGTTTCTGATCCACAGGAGAAATAATTCAGTCTTTCATCTTGAAGACGTTCCCCTTTATCCCCAGTTTGTTGAGTTTTAAACATCATGAATGGATGCTGACATTTACCTCTGTTCAATACCATGTGGCTTTCCTTGCTTAGCATGTTATGGGTACAATTGCACTAATATTTGACTGTTTAGTATGCATTTTAGTTTAGGCAGTCATGATGTAGTATTCCTTTTATTGCTGGGTTGTGTTGAAGAGTTTACCGTCTATATTGATTGGAGATCTTGGTCTGGAGAATGTCGAATTTCGCACATAAAATAAATTGAGGCATGCTCTCTTGTATTATGCAATTCTCTGGTATTATTTCTTCCTTAAGTATTTTAAATTCATTAATGAAACTATCAGATCTAGTTTATTCTCTCATAAGACATTTAATGATGGATTGCATTTTTAAAAAGACTAACTTTTCAGGTTCTTTGCTTGGGTGAGTTTTGGCAACATGAGTCTTTAAAGGAATTGTACTATTTTATCTTGTTTGAGGCATGCAAATATAGTGGTCTATAATATTACAACCGTGGGGTCAGTAGTGATGTCACTGCTTTTGTTCCTGAAGTTGATGACTTGTGACCTTTTATTTTTCTTGGGCAATAAAAGCTGGAATTCTTTCAGTTTCCTTTTTCCCCTCTCTCTCCCAGAAAGCAGCTATTGATTTCAGTGAAATGCGCTCTAGTTTTTCTGTTTTCAGTTGCATATTATTTTTTTCATATTACTTGCTTTGTTTTTTCTTTTCTAGTCTCTTAAGATAGACATTATTAATTTGAAACCTGGCTTTTCAAATATGAGCCTTTAATGTGATAAATTTTTCTCTAAACCCTGTTCTTAGTGCCATGCTATAAATTTTGATAGTTTCGTTTTAATTTACTTGAAAGTATTTTGCTACTGATTTTTATTAATTCCAGTATTGTCAGAGAACATATTCTTAATGATTTTGGTTTCTCTAAATTTAATCTTTGTTTCGTAACCTGTGTTTTGGTCTCTCTTGGTGAATGTTCCATGTGCACTTGTAAATTAGATTCAGTTGGTTTCATGGTTTTGTAATCGTACCAAATTTATTTCTACCTGTTCAATCAATTACTGAGAGAAGAGTATTGACGTGTCTAAGTATAAATGTGGCTTGGCCTCTTTCCTCCTTCAGATCTCTGGTTTGGCAGTCTGTGTTTGGAAGCGCGGTTGCTAAGTAGAAGTAAGAGGACATACTCATTTATAAAGCTGGATCTGTTTTCTCTGAATTGGGTTGAGCCACTGAGGAAGCCTACAGCTAGTATTCTTTGCTGTGCAGAGTTGAAAGGGTCTTATGTTTCAATCACAAAGAGAGCAGACTGGCCTTTTTCTCTGGCATCCACTTGGAAGGTGTTTGCATGTGAGGCCCTTCTTTGAGGAGGGCTACACTGGAACCGTGCATACTCAAGCTCAATCACTAGCAGAATGCTCTGTCCTTAGATACAATTATTTGTAGTGAGTTCATTGAAAGTAGGTGAAGAGGGACAGGTGAACTTTTTTCTTGCTAACTCAGTGACTTAATATTATCCCTAGGGAAGTCCTTTCTACAATCTGCTAAGCTGTGTTTTAAAACCTTGCTACTTGTCAACAAGGTGCATGTCCCAGGGAGCCAGCGCATTGTGGGTTTACCACCTCTTACCTTTTCTCTACAATTGTGTGTGCTTGGACAATCAGGAACCTTTGACTCGTGTGGGGTTGGGCGGGGTGTATGCTTCCAGCACCTTTGTTTCCCTCACTGTTGGTCCATTGGTTCCTTTGTCCCCAAGAGGGCTAGATTCATCTCGCATCCTTAGTGAGGTCCCAGCCTGTGCTGGAGGACATGCTGCCCTGCCCGGTTCTCCCTCCGAGCCTGCAGCTCGTGTGGTGGACTTTCCTGGGAAGCCCTCCTCCTCGAGGCTCGTGCGAGTGTGACGTGGTGGAGTAGAGTTAGGGATTGCATCTACCAGGATTTGAAAGTGATAGACTAAAAGCTTTGCATTTTTGTTTTGTTTTGTCTTTTTAAATAAATATAGACCTTTCATGCAATGTGGTATAACAGACTCCTGAGTGTTAATGATCTGACTAATAATATCCAGTAATAGCTATAGCCGGTGCTGAAGGTGGGGGCAGAAAGATGCTCTTTTTCTGGGTCCTATGTTTCCATCCCAGGGGCTCCTGTATAACAGTGCCTAGGAGATGAGCACTCTCGTCTGTATCCACCCGCCACACCTTCCCCCACTCGTGGCATTAAGGCCTGTGCTTTTTTTTAATCGTTTTATTAGGGGCTCATACAACTCTTATCACAATCCATACACATATCAATTGTGTGTAGCACATTTATACATTCTTTGCCCTCATCATTCTTAAAACATTTGCTCTCCACTTAAGCCCCTGGCATCAGCTCCTCATTTTTCCCCCTCCCTCCCCGCTCTCCCCTTCCTCATGGACCCTTGATAATTTATAAGTTATTATTATTTTGTCATCTCTTTCCCTGTCCGATGTCTCCCTTCACCCACTTTTCTGTTGTCCGTCCTCCAGGGAGGAGGTTTTATGTAGATCCTTGTAATCGGTTTCCCCTTTCCAACCCACCCTCCCGGTATCGCCGCTCATGGCCTTTCTTGTCACAGAAGCCGAGCCGTGCTGCGTGGAAGCATGAAAGGATGGCTCTGCAGGGCTCATTGAAACATGTGGACACAGGTCAGTGTGGTCCAGCTGTGAGTGAGGAAGCCATCATATGCAACGTCAAGGTGAGCGTGGCCTGCAGAGGGGTGGTGCTTGGGCAGAGAGTGCTACTAGTGCTGTGTCCTGGGATTGCTTAGACTGGTGGAGGCATTGCCAAAACTGAGAGGTTCTCATCTCCTGGGGGGAGTACTTGCCTCAAAGACAACTAATATATACCCTCTCCACGCAGAAATACACTCAGGCCAGTGGTCAGGGCACTTGATAAAGGGGCTGGGTGTACAGAGACGTGTTTCAGTGCTTAGGAGTTGGTGAAGGAAGAAGACTGGGTTGGCAGATCTTCATCTCTGCAGCATAGAAATCGGAGAGATTCCTTGATTTGATAATGTGGTGAAAGCTAGAGTTGCATTCTTCAGGGAAAACATGAGCATCAAACTGTAGAGATGGCCTCCAGCCTCCCATGAACCTGTGATGAGACCTAGTCTGGCCCAAACGTAGGTGGTCAAATCCAAAGCAGCCTTTTTGGATTCACTCGATGGTACTGTGGAGAGGAGGTCCGTGACCCGCACACTGTCCGATGGACAGACTGTGTGGGAGCAGCCAGGTCTCACTCGGTACAAATTGGGTAAGGCTGATAGGCATGAGGCGCTAATGAAGGAACAAGTAAACTGCCTCGTTTTCCAGGGCAACAGATAAAAATGTGTTATATGAGATTTCTCAGCAAGATGTCTATTTTATCCCCCTGTAATTAAGGTTTACCATTTCTTTTCTTTTAGATGGAAAAATTGTACTTGCATTATTTGAGAGCAGAGAGCTTTCGAAAAGCCTTGATTTATCAGAAGAAGTATCTCTTGCTGCTTATCGGTGGATTCCAGGATTCTGAGCAAGAAACCCTCTCAATGATAGCTCATTTGGGAGTGTTTCCTTCCAAACCAGATAAGAAAGTAACTGCATCTCGTCCTTTTACCAAGTTCCGAACTGCTGTCAGGGTGGTTATTGCAATCTTAAGGTACGCACCAGTTCCCTCCTGTTTAACCCCTTGGGCAAAGGGTGCATCAGGTCATCTTGCTTGGCTTGCACCTGGCTAATTGGTTTAGTTATTTGGAACTGCATTTTATTTCAAGATAAATTATATTCTCGAGACCTTAAAGGAGACAGCAGCTGACACTTGTCTTTAAGAAAGCATGCTGTGTAAAGCCGTCACCTTCTAGACTAAAAGACTGGAGGATATCTTTAATTACTAAAGAACGTGCTGCCTTTTCATGAGTGTCTGGCCGGATTCTTTTTGACAACAAACACAGCCAGTGCCATTCAAAACAGTTCCATTTTGTACATTGAACTTGCCTGTAGTTTGATTGTGGTGTATTGGCCACAAGGTCAGTAGTTCAAAACCACTAGGCACTCTGCAAGAGAAAGATGAGGCTTTTTTACTTGAAACCCCTGGGCAGTTCTCCTCTGCCATAAGAATTTACTCAGTGGCAGTGAGTTGGGCTTTGGTTTGGTGATATTTGAGTCGGGCATGTGTTACAAAGAGGCACTTGGTATTAGTTGCTGTGCTAGTCCAGGTAGACTAGAGAAACAAATCCATAGACTCTCATATGTATAGGAAAGAGCTTTATGTCAAAGAGTAATTGTATATTAAGAAAATACCCCAGCCCAGTCCTGATCAAGTCTGATCTGTCCGACACCAGTCTATAAATTTCTCTTCAGACTCACACAACACATGCAATGATGCCGAATGCAGGAAGATCACAGGCCAGTGGGTGGAAAGTCTTGCTTATACAGTGGTGCTAGAAGCATCTCAGCGCTGGCGTGGGTCTGCACATGGTTCCTCTATCTCCAGGGCTCTGGCTCCATCAGCATAGCTCCATGTGGCTTGTCAACAGGAATGTCTCACAGGGAGCGTGTGTGTCCCACCTCCTGGGAGGAGGACAGGAGTTCCCTGAATGCTCAGGAGAAGGCCATACTCACACAGAGGCCGCGTTGGCTATGACCTGACTCAGGCTAGACTCCACCCCGTCGCTCGAGTGGCAGGAGATTACGGAACTGCCACAGTTGCCCTGGGGTGTAATCAAACAAACAGTGTGAGCCTGGGGCCTTCTTCCTGATCGCGGTGTGCTCCAGTTCTTTGTGCCTGTTGAGTTGGCTGAGCTTGTTGAGGGTCTCTCGTTTCTGCTGGCCTCTGCCTCACCAAGCATGCTGTCCTTTTCCGGTGCACAGAGTAAACCTTCCTCATCTCTAAGGGACATTGTGACTTTTTCTAAAACGGATTTGTTCGTTCTTTTAACAGTCCCAACAGTATATTTAATATTCTTTGCCACCACCAGCCTTTGCATACATAAATTCTTCTACCCAGTTTTTTTTTATGGCTATGAGATAAAGGAAAAAAGATCATGGGTTGGTTAGATGTACCGTAGTAATCCAAGTGGCATCTTTAATTTTTAAAAATCTAAAGAAGTCTTTGAGAGCAGATTTTCTTAGTAAACTTCGTTGTTTGATTTCTTAACTGCTATTCCCATGGACATTGTTGTCCAAGTCAACGGAAATCCTCAACAACCTCAGTTTTTCCTTCATTTATCATGATGATATTAATCTGCTCGGCTATGAGAAAAAATTTTTCCCCATGTTCAGGTGTAATCCACACTGAAGACTATAGTCTTTGTCCTTCAGCAGTTAGTACTTCAAGTTTTCTTCATTTGGGCATACATTTGCATATCACAGTGGTTAATTTTCTTCATTTTGGCATACATTTGCATATCACAGTGGTTAAGGTGGTCCCTTCCTTAAGTCCTACTGCTGTATTCGTCTTCATATGGTGCCACTTATTGAATTGTTTGTTCGGCATACAGATTAAGAAAGGTAAAAAGTTGCAACCCTGTCACAAGTCTTTTCCAATTTTGAGTCTTGCAGTATTCTCTTTAACTGACTACCTCTTGATCCATTTTGAGATTCTGCATGAGTACAACAAATGTTCTTGAATTCTCTTTTGAATTCTCATTGTCTCAGTTACCTCGTGCTGCTATATCAGAATTGCCACAACTGAATGGCTTTAATAAACCAGAATTAGTTTTCTCAGTCAGGAGACTAGAAGTCCAAGTTCTTGGGGAAGGCTCTGTAGTAGTAAGGTCCTTTTCTCTTTGGAGCATCTGTTCATGGGCAGTGTTTTAGGCTGAATTGACTAGAGAAACAGATCCAGGGACATATGTGTAAGGAAGAGCTCTGTATCAAGAAGTATTTGTAAATCAAGACAACATTGCAACCCAGTCCACCTCAGATCCATAGGTCCGACCCTAGTCCATAAATCCCTCTTTAGACTCACGTAGCCACATGCAGTGATGCAGAAGGCAGGCAGATCACAGGCTGGTGGGTGCAAACTCACGTGGATTCAAGCTTGGTGGAAACATGGCAGGGCTGCAGCAGCTCTCGGGGTCAGTAGCAGAGAGGGAAGTTCCCGGGCCTGCCGTAAGAGAAGGCCACGCCCTCAAGGAGTCACCGCCCATACACTTAGATATTTTCAAGTTGACATAAAACTGTAACTACCACATGCAGTCTTCATGTGGCTTGGCATTTCTTTTCCCTTATCTCCACTTACTCGTTTTATTATTTAATCTCTTTTGTGTTTCTAAAGAGACTTAACTCAAGATATGCCTATACTAATAATTTCCCTATTACCAAAACAAGGACAACTCACTCGCAAATGAAACTATAGCCACCAGTGTAGAGGCTAGGATTTATAATAGATATTGTGGGGGACACAATTCAATTCATAATACCCACTCTTTGCAGTGTTAACCATAATTTGTTGTAATCCACAAAGCTAAATGCCTTCATGTGGTCAGTAAAACAGTTAAACATCATTTCGATGTCCACTGTGTTTTGCCAAGATAGACCGGCCATCAGCAATGATGTCCCTGCGCTACGTTATCTGACTTTGGCAGTTCCCTGCTGATGTATGGCTGTAGTAATTTTTTAATTATCTCCAGCAGAGTGATGCTTGCGATACTAATGATATTAATGTTTTTCACATTCAATTTGATCATTTTTCTTTGGGGTAAGCACACATAGGGATATAGTTTAGTCAGTGAGGTCTTCCATATTTCTTAATATAAGGAGTAAGCACTTGGAAGGGTTGCATCCATGTATTGAAGCTCCTCAGTTGGTTTTCCACCAATTTATGAAACATTATTTTTGCCAGTGCCTTTAGTGTAGCCTTGAACTTCTTCATTTAATATGAACAGTCTTGATGATATTCTTCTCTTTGAAATAGCTGAATATTGGCTAATTATTTTTTGTGCAGTAACTTTCTGTATTCCGTCATCTTTTGACAATTCCTGCAGCATTCAATTGTGTATACAGAGAATCCTTCAGTAATGCAACTCAGGGTTTGAATTTTCTCTTTAGTTCTCTCAGCCTGAGAAATGCCAAGCATGTTTTTCCTTTTGGTTTTCTAATGCCAGGTCTCTGCACACTTCTTTATAATACTCTGCTTTGTGCCTTCCTGAGCTGCCCTTTAAAAGCTTCTCTTCAGTTCTTTAAGGTCACCATTTCTTCCAGTCACTTTACTTACTTTTTAACTTTTTATTGTGAATTGGGAAAGGTTTACTCTTCCTTCACTTAAGCTGCATGCTTTAGAGCCTGTTGTGTCATCCATCTTTTCCTTCTGTCTTATCTTTTCAATGATCGTTCTCATGTATGGTGTCTTTACTGTCTGTCCCTGCCTCTCCTGGTATTCAATCATTAGTGTTTAGCATGCCAGACTGTTCCTTAGACGATCTCTGTGTTCACATGGGTTGCATTCAGAATTGTATTTTGGCCTTTGTGAACTTGCTTTGATCTTCAGCTTGTACTTGCATAGGAACAATTTATGGTACATTCCAAATTGGCCCTTCCATTAGTCTTCATGATGATATTGAACCTTATTTATTTCTTTACACAGAGGTGGTCTATTTGTTCCTTTGTAGTCCATCCAGTGAGCCAATATGTGTAGTCACAGAGTGCTTTTGAAGAGTAGTATGTCTGATGACTAAGCCATTGGCCCTGCAGAATTTTACATGCACTTTCTGCCATCCCTCCTATAACCAAAGTCATATTTCCAACTCTAGATCCCCCTTCTTTGTTTCCAGTTTCTATCCACCAGTCATTAGGTATTAGCAATTTCTTGTTTGGTAAATTTTAGACTACAAGCAGGTTATAAAAATCTTCAGTGTCTTCATCTTTAGCCTTCATGATTGATATATAAATTTGAAAAATATTCAAATTAACTGGTCTTCCTGGTAGATGTTTAGACATTCATCTGTCACTGTTGGTGTTGTGCTAGCGGGTAGAATTTGAAATACTCTGTTGGACATTGAACGTAATAGCTTTCCTCTTTCATTCGTCATTCCTGCTTTAGTATGCTTTGTGATCTAGGTTCAGCACGGTCAATCTCTGTCCATTTCAGCACACTAACGCCAAAGGTAGAGGCCTGTTGATCTTGATTGAAGTCATTCCATTTTAATTCTGGTGTCTCCCCGCTTTCCTTGCTCCATGCTTCACATGTTGCACATTCTGATTACTTATGGATGAGTTGTGCCACATCAGCAAGCGAAGGTGCTGGCGGCGCTGCTCCATCCACATCACTAAGGTCAACTCTACTCTGAGGAGGCAGCTCTTCCTCCGTCATATTTGGAGTGCCAACTGGCTGATTTTTTTGAAATACACCTCCAGGCATCTCTTCCTAATCTTAGTCTGGACGCTCCACTGAACCCTGTCCACCATGAGTGAGCCTGCTGATATTTTGATGCCCATGGCGTAGCTTCCAAAATGAAGCCATTGTGTGAAGCCATTAAAATAGGATAAACTGACAGATGGGTGGTAGAAGAGGAGTCCAAACCAAAGAACTCCCAAATCCAACTCTGCTGCTGTTGAGTAGATTCCAGCTCGTGGAGATCCTACATGATCTACACAAAGTGGAACTGCCCTGTAGGGGGTTTTAACTGTCATCTTAATGGAAGCAGTTGGCCGGACCTCTGTACCACAGCACCACTGGGTGTTTGCATTGCCCAGGTGCACACACATCTAAATGAATGAGCTGCTATACACCTTTCACCTGCAAGTGTAGCTGTGGGCCCCACTTTCCACTAAGGAGCACCTGTCTTCCATCTTCACTGCCCATCATGCCTGCCAAGCCCCACTCTCTCTCTGCCACAGCCCTGCTGGCCATGCTATATTCCTAGAGGCATTGCTTACTGACCATCCTCGGAACAGAGATGGCCTTTGGAGCAAGAATGTGTTGTGCCTTCCTGGTGTCTGGAGAATTTGATGGTTTTAAAATCAGCAGTGGTGAAAATGTATTTTATTTTGTTTTTAGAATTATTTTATTACAGTGGTATGATCACATATGGTCTAAGAGCATATTTACTATTCAAATAGTAAACCAAATAGAATCAGATGTTAAAGACGGGCTTCAAACATCATATCCAATGATGCCTCGCTTGCCTATGATCTCACCTGTATAAAACCACATCCACACTTCAGTGGCCACCAAACCGTTCAGCAGAGCTTCCTGAACTGTGCGCTCTGTGAAGCGACCAGTCCGAGCACTATTGACTACTTTTTTCAGGTTCTGGATTGCTGTAGGGATCTCAACAGGGGGGTTGGAGGAACCAGCTCCACCTTGACACAGTGCCAACATGTGGTCATTTGAGGCTTCGAATAACTTACAGCAGTGTTTACCATCCCCGGAGCCTTCTCCTCCAGGTTACAGATAAATTGGGTCATGATTCTAGTAGAGAAAGCCCATGGCCTGAAATGGCCGATTTAATGTCACCTCTGGGGACACACATTTCATTTTAAATTTAATTTTTCTAAAAGCTCTTGTTGCACTAAGAATGGTATGGCTGTGTCTGTTTCATGTTGCTCGTAAAGACATCAACCCACAGGCCATCAGCGTTTGTGCGGGTGATGGAAGTGTGGGGGAATGCCCGTCCCAGGCACTCTGCCTGAGAGTGTTGCCAAGGGAGGCAGGGACTTCCGTACACCTTGAGTTCTCTGTCAATGTCTTCCAGGCCCACTGACCTCACAGGTTGGGTGATTTCTGTCAGTTATTTTTTCACAACACTTCCTGTGCTGCTTCCATTTCTGTTCCACTCTAATCTTGAATGCATTTCCTTTGTCTACTGTCTTTTGTAGATTACGTTTCTTGGTTAAGAAATGGCAAGAAGTGGACCGAAAGGGACTACCACGAGGCAAAGCCTGCCGCCCAGGTGGGACACGAATTGTTAACAATTGTGTGCGCATAAATTTTCCTTCTAGTTTTAGTAGTATATTTGTTAACATCATGGTTCTTTCCCAGTGATCAGTGGGAAAGAAATAAGACTCTATTTTAAAAATCAGTAAATTCTGTTCATATTGTTAACAAAGAAGGCAAATGGGTCTTCTGAAGAAAACGGCTTTTCTGTTGTGAAAAATCAGAAATACGACTATGCTTATACCCTTAATGAACAACAAGTACCTCAGAAGAGATTGTACTAGTGATTTTAAAATGTGGAAATGTTAACAAGACCCATTATGTAGTCTTTGAAAGCATGGTCCTTTTTCCTCTCCAGAATCAAGTGCAGGTCCACCTGTAGTGCTGTCCTTTCCCCTCGAGAGCACCAGTGACTACAGTTGGTCCACATCTCCCCCACACGGCTGTGTGCTCTTGGCTCTTTGGGTTTGTGCAGTGGTCGCTTTTCATGGTGTAGAAGGATGCCCTTTCCCCACGTCTCTGCACTCCTGTGATCGCCTGTAAGAAAAGGTTGATCTGGAAGCCCTGCTAGACTGCGCACCCGAGATGGGCACCAAACCTGAAGGAGACACAGGAGGCATGCTGTATGGTCTTGGCTCTAGGATCAGAGCACAGAGACCAGCACAGGATGCTGCCATTGGCTCTCTGTCCCTGTGCTTCCATGTTCTCACAGCAGTGAAGGAGGGTCTGGGAGGTGGGTGTCGGGTTGCTGTCCCTCAGGCGGATCGCAGCCACGAGTGAGCACCGAGAACACTCTTCCTACTCAGCACCACGCATGCAGGAGCAGCACCCAACTCCCCACTCTAGGTGCCCCTGCGCTGTGCTGGGCAGGCCCAGTGATGAACCACCTTTGTTGGGAGGGGACAGGTGACTGTCACAGAGATGGCTTTTCTGCCAGTGTAATATCAGCTTTCACTGTCACACTCTATTTCCTAAAATTAAATTACTTGCATTCAGACTTCCAGGCCATCACTGGTAGTGTTCAGGGTTTCTGCCCGCCCTTTCCCTAAGCTGGGTAGAGGCAGCACCCTATCCCCATCTTGCCTGGCACCCTCTTGGTCCCCCTACAGCTGCCCACATGGCCGTGGGGGTAAATTTCAGCTTCACAGGAGTGAAACATTGGATGTGAGGGAGAGCATTCCTACTAAAATGTGCTTCTTTCCTGATCCCTGCATGTGCTATAATTCTGCGGGTAGAAACACCATTGCCCCAGCCGCAGCCACCCCCTCCTGAAACGAGGTCTCCTCCCACCCGGGACGCTTCGACCAGCCTCACCAGAGACCCTGTCCATGGCTCCAGGTCCAGGCCCACAGAATCACCACGCATGAGAGCAAGGTCAGTTGGGGGTGCTCCAGGCTCTCTGTCCATTACAAGAGCAAGATCGGCTTGTAGCCACTGGTGGTGAAGGTCCGTGTCAAGGGAGCAGCAGCTGATTGGATCCTGGATCTGTGGAGGCCACAGGCTGCGGCTACTCCTAGAAGGAGCCTTGCCTGCCTTTATCTTTTCTATGGGAGATGGATTTTTCACACCCATCTGTGTCTTTTTATTAGCAATTCAAGTGACATTATTAAACACCCACAAGATTTTAATTTAAAAAAAAAAGTTTTCAGTTAATAATAAGAGGAGTAAAAATAATAACTAGTGGAACTTATAGTTGTTTAAATTGTAAAATGGAATTTTGTTTAAAGTTTTTTTTTTTTTAAGGTTTCCCTGTAGCCTGTGGTAGTTTGTAGGCAGGTGTATATGCACTCCTCCCAGCTTTAGGCTCATCTGGGGACGTGATGGAAGGTAAATGCCCCAGTTCTAGTTGAGTACCAGCCTCACCTCACAAGGGCCGCCTCTCCCTCAGCCATGGAGCTCTGATTCCAGTGCTGATTAGGAAGATGAAGTGGCCGTTGCATGTCCAGTCTGCCTCTGTAAGCAGCTGGACAAGGGCATCTTGGGTTGAACCATTTGTTTCACTTGTGATGTTTCCAGTGTTCGAGACAGAGCCTTATTTTCTAGAACGTGTATAGAAAAGCTTAGCTTGTATCTTTGTGGATAGTTATACATGTTTAGTGGATTTATGAACACTTTTATTTCCCCCTAGTGTTTTGAAATAAACAAGTATTCATCCTCTTGTCAGAGCAAGACAAACCCTTCAAATATGTCATTAAGTCAGCAATGCCCCCGGGGGCTGTCTGTGGAAGCTGCCTTGTATGATGATCTCTGAGAGTCATTTTCTTGGCAGGAGAAACAACATGCAAGGGTTAATGGCACTGTGCCACATCGCAGATCACAAGAGGTTACTGATTAGACAACATGACATAAATTAGTGTTCCTCATTAAACCTGCTAGTCTTTCCAGATTGCTGTACATGGCTTTTGATGACCTCTGCTAATGACCTCCATGTCATTTTATTAGGTTTTCAGAAATGTAGTATGAAGGTCTGTTTTCTGTCAGCCCCCAAGCAAGGCAGTGAATAATCCAGTGTGAGTCCTTAAGGGGCCTAGAAGCCTGCTTCTGCTAGCTGAGGGCGGGGAGCTTGTTTGGCTCCGCATGACTGAGTAATACTTATTGAAAGCATAAGTGATGACCCAGGGTAAGGAAGAGAGTGGTCCCTACCCTGAAGCGATCGAGACGTGTGCCAGTTAAGAGGTAAAGAATGGTACAAAGGGTGCTCCCTGGGCTTGCGGAATTGGAGATCGGGAGAGCAGAGGTGGGGCTGCATGGCAGTGTAGGTTTTACCCCAAGGAGAGAGGCAGGGTCGTGGTTGTGCTACTCCGCACGGCACCAGAGGCGTGACATCTGAAGATGCTGCTGAGTAACCCAGTTTTGGTGGGAGTAGAAGATGTTGTGAATAAAAGTAACATGCTTGTGCATTAGTTTCTACTCCTGCTTGCTTTGAGATAAAAACGGTGTAGAAATTTGTCTTAAAGGCATTATATTATAAAAAAGCTGCACACTTTTTTTTTTTTTGAGGTAAAGGGTTTGAAGAAGAATATGTCATTGACCCCAGTTCCCACAGGGTGTCTGGGTCAGGAGGACCCTCAGCTCCCTTCATGCGTATTGACTCAGTCTCCATGCTGCTCTTTGTTTAAGTTGAGCTCCTTTGTTGTTTGTTTCTTGATGCGCTGGTTTCTTTCTATGAAGACACACTTCGTCTCCACGTTCAAGATCAGGAAGGTCCCTGGATGCTTCTCAAGATCCGGAACACTCCTTAACAGAATATATCCAACATTTAGAAATGATTCAGCAAAGACTAGGAGGGGCACCACAAGGTAGGAAAGACCCTTCTCTTATCTAGAAATGTGTAATAGTGAAGACCTCTCATATTATTGACTGAAGAATTGAATATCATTAAGTGTCAAAAGTAGTTAAGATTGGCTTGTTGTGACTTAATGACCACTGAGGCTCATTGGTCTTCGTCTCAAACAGGGAGGGAACAGAAAGATGATAGTTAAGCTAGCACATTAGTCCAGGGTTTCTGAACTGTGCTAATTTGAATCATTATGTAGTTTATTTGTATTTTTACCAAAATTAAGATAAATTCTAGAATTTCAAAATTGTGGAATTGTACTTCAAAGACATGAAGTCCTTTAACAAACTATAAAGTGAGCAAATAGTAATAACCTATATATATATATATACCTTTATTTATATATTCTTTATTTATATTTAGATTCCACTTCAAAAAAGTCCTGCCGCCAGAAGATTAAATGATGAATAAAATGCAGTGGATCGTCCTTGTGACAATTCTATTTGAGGAAAAGATTTTCCCCCTTGTGATGTGGCGTAGGATAGATGTTCATGGCATCCAGCCCCTAAGTACATTTGTCCAAGTGTTCAAAACCCACTGGAGCATTTGCGATGTAATTCTGGTATGTACTTGGCCTTGTCTTCATGAGGTAGCAGCTCTTGTGAGCTCGGGCTCGTCGCTGCTCTGTGTGCATGGGCAGTGCCACGCCTGCCAGCCTCCACAAAGGGTAAGCTGCAGATGGCTTCCTGTCTTGATTTTCCTAAATGCTGTACAGTTGGACACTTTGTTTTAAACACAAAGCCCAAGAAGGGTAAAATTAAAGCACTGTTTTATTTCTGAGTAGCCCGTGTCTTGTCTTCTTTCATTCAGCTTGCTGTCATCCCTGGCAAAAAATAGGAAACAGACTTAGAACTTACGCTAAACCCCGAGAACACAAGATACTCTCACCTAGTGAAATCAGTTAGCCACTTGCCTCCTCTTTAGTCTTATTGGTCTGTCATTTTAATTTCGAAAGATGCTGCCACTATTTTTCTACTTCTTGTAGCATGATAAATTTGCACTTCATTCATAAACACTATCATGCAGTAAAACCTAAGCTAACTCAAGTATCCTTTACTCAAAATTCTAGTGTAAATATTTCAGTGGTTTTTTTTTTTGAAATTTTAGGACCTTTGAGAACGGCTTCTATTTGACCATGATATTTATTCTGCTGGATTTTGACCTTAATATGAAATAACTTTTTCTATATCATTACATACTTTTCATTGCTTTTTCTCTCAGTCTTCAACACCGACGCTTGTCTGAATTATCTGACTGTTAGCCATGACTACTATGGTCACGGTTTTACGAACTTTCACTTTCTCCATTTCTCCTTCCTGCAAAGCTGTCTGCTGGCCCTGCTTCTGCTGCTGAAGCTAAACTCTGAAATCAGCCCAGGAGCAGGAGCCCCGGAAGCCCCTCTTCAGTTTAAGCATCACCCGAAAGAGTGATGACCAATTGATGATCAGATGCTGCCACAGTATTGAGCTGAAAAAGCCAGGTGGGGTGGGGTGGGGTGCAGGGTTTTTGGAAACCACAGTGGATGCTATACCAAAATTGTTAATTTGGAAATTGATATTTAAAGACAGGGGCATTCATTCTATTTCATGGATGACCTACCTACGTGATGAAAAAAAGTCCTTTACACTAAAATGCCAGCCGGTTCTTTCAGATACCAAATGAAAGTCAGTTCCTTGTTTAGAATGAACAGTATGATTAGGAAATATGACAAAATAATAATTTATAAATTATCAAGTGTTCATGAGGGAGGGGGCAGTGGGGAGGGAGGGGAAAAATGAGGACCTGATGCCGGGATTAAGTGGAAAGCAAATGAGAATGATGAGGGCAGTGAATGTACAAATGTGCTGTACACAATTGATGTATGTATGGATTGTGATAAGAGTTGTATGAGCCCTTAATAAAACAATTTAAAAAACCCAAAAACCAGAAACAAACAAAAATCATTCTGTACAGCTCATCAATAAATCTTAACTGAAGTTGAAGGTTCAGTTTTACAATGGAAAATACAGTAGTTACCTCTTTAACTGGGTCATGGTAAGATAGGTAGACGCTGTCCTAGACTGGGTTTCCTAGAGAAGGAAAGCCAGCGAAGCTTCTGTGCGTGTGTGTGTGTGTGCGTGTGTGCGTGTGTGTATAAATTTAAATCAAGAGAGCGGACCATGTAATTGTAGAAGTGAACAAATTCCAAACATGTGGCTCAGATGTTAGGCTGTGGAGGCTGCTGGCATGCATCGCTGTGGGGTCCGTTAATGGGCTTGTGGCTGCTGAGCAAGTGAATCCAAGGTCCGCAGGTAAGATGACAAGACTGCTGACAACTCCAAGAAGAGTCAGGCAGTTTGGCAAGCTGCTGCCTCAAGTCCAAAGAACCAGTGGTCAGAGGATGAACTAGATGTAGGATCCAGACCCAGCCAAAAAAACAAGCAAGTTTTCCCATAACTGCCTCTAATGGAAGCAGGCTACACCCCTGAGGAAGCTTCCTTTCCATCGATTTCACAGGGCTATGACTTGAATAAGGGGGTTACACCCCACCCCAATCTTAAAAGTGTTTGGCTGCTCATAGCAGGTCCCATTTGGAGGGGATTCCCCTGGGCCACATGTCATGGGGTCTCAACTCCCAAACCACTGGGAACCCTGTCGCAGCCGACCTGTGAAGGAGTCGCCAGTGACTCGGGGAACGCCTGTGTACAGAAGAAGAGCGTTGCCTGGTCCTGTGCCCGTTCCAGTGTCATCGCAGCTCCTCCCAGTGGATCTCAGTGTCTCTGTCATCCTCACTGGCCCGCTGCGTCACCAGCAATGTCTTTTTTTAGCAATTGATTGCTCCGGACAGCCTGTCTAAAGCAAATGGTCTGGACGGTGTTTTATTGCGATACATAATGTTTTCATTGGCTGATTTTCAGAGCTAGATTGCGAGGAAGTTCTGTTGAAATATGTCTATTGTGGGCGGTCCTGCTGGCATTTGAAATACTGACCTATCCTCCAACAGGGAGAAAGACCAGGCTTTCTACTCCCATACAGAGTGACCATCTCAGAAACCCACAGGGGCCCAGTTCTGCCCTGCTCTACAGGGTCGATGTGAGTCAGCATCGACTCTCGATGGCAGTGAGTTTGGGGTTGGATCCTCCAGCGTCATAGTAACACAGACCCTACCACATGGAGACAAACTGACAGATGGGTGGAATCAAACTAAGCTGAATGAGGGGCCTGGCATGCAGTGTTTCCTGGTGTAATGTGATGTGTGTGTGCGACATCACTTATGAGGTGTTCCTGTGTTAACCAAATTTTTACATTTAACTTCATTTATAGGAAATACTAAAAAAAAAAAAAAAAAAAAGGAAATACTGTTGGGCTTCCATACAACCCATAGTTATAAAGCAACTCTGAAACCTTATTAAAATGCTGAGGTACCTATTATGGTTTGTAATAACAATGGCACTATATTGTAGTGTACATCAAAACAGTATCTTGTTCTCTTAAAGACGTTTCCGTGTATCTGGAAGTGGTTTTATGCATGGAATACTACATCACAACAAACAGTTCACTGACTGACATTAGATACAAACCTCACCTAATTATTCCAACCAGTACAAATTTTACTTCCAGGCAGGGTTAGGACGAGAATTCCCTTGTGAGGTACTTAGTTTATTGTGCCACCCTGGCTGATAAACATATGTGGGATCAATTGATGGGTGGAGCGATAAATGGCTCAGTGAACCTCACCTTTGTGGTTCTCTGGTCTCTTGCTTTCTGGTGGTCGGACCAGGGTGCAGCTGTCTTAGCCAGTTCCCTGCTTCAGCTGGCAAGGCTCACTTCCTGCAAGACGTCCCCAAGAAGAAGCCCCATGGAACTACCCCAATGCAACCCTGGATGTTGCAGCAGCCGTGTGGAGACCCTTGCCAGTGCTGAGATGTTTACATATTCACTGACTCGGCTTTCCTTCTCCAGTTGGCATCCTTGCGTGTGTTCTGTGAGATGGGGGAGGACTTTGTGGATTGGTATCGGACGTGGGCTTATGTTGGACTTGTGGGCTTGGGCAACACTGGGTTGGGATGTTTTCTTGATGTGCACTTACCCTTTATAAAAACTCTCTCTTACACATGAGTTTCTGTGGATTTGTTTCTCTAATGCACCCAGACTCACACACCTTGTTCCAGGCGGTGGACGGCTGGGTTCTCGAGAGAAGCAAACCAATGACAGGCGTGTTTTAGGTGCCGTTGGGTCCGTTCCGACGCATACACCAGGGCAACACACTGCCAGGTCCTGCCCACAGTCATTGCTCTGCTTGAACCTGTGGCTGCAGCCACTGTGTCCATCTGATTGAAATTCTAACTCTCACAGACCCTTTACTGAGCACAGTGTCTTTGTCTAGGAACTGATCCCTCCTGGGACCCTGTCTACAGTATTGGAGGCAAACTCTCCATTCTTTGGATGTGCTTTTTCCAAGATAAATGTGGTAGTCCATTCAACATTTTCCAATATTGCAATTCAAATGCACCAATTCTTCAGCTTTTCTTAATCATTGTTCAGCTTTTGTGTACGTACGAGACAATTAAAAACACCATGGCTCCTCATTTTCCCCCTCTTTACCTCATGGACCCTTGATAATTAATAAATTATTATTTTTTCGTGTCTTACATCGACTGATGTCTCCCTTCACCCACTTTTCTGTTATCCGTCCCCCTGGGAGAGGGTTATATCTAGATCATTGTGATCAGTTCCCCTTTTATTCCCCTCACCTTCTCCTTACCCTCCTGGTATCGCTACCTCTCATTATTGGTCCCTAGGAGTTTATCTATCCTGGATTCCCAGTGTTTCCACCTGATACCAAGGGCTCAAGTAGAAAGAAAATGTTTTGAAAATGATGAAGGCAACAAATGTAAAAAGCACACGATGGATGGGTGGATTGTGATAAGAGCTATCTGAGCCCCAATACAATGTTTTTTTTTAAAAAGAGACCCGTCCCTGGAAAAGGCCATCATGCTTGGTAACGTTGAGAGGCAGTGAAAATGAGGAAGTCCCCCAGCAAGATGGCTTGACAACAATGGCCTCAAGCCTAAGAGCACTTGTGAGGCGGGCGGACCGGCTGGTGGCTTATGTGAGTCGGAATTGACTCGAGGGCATCTAACAACAAGAGTGAAAGGATGGGGTAAGCTTCCCCATACCGTTCTCCTAGGACAGCCCTGGTTCCCCTCAAAGGATGAGAGGTGCAATGTCGTGATGGTAAACAAATCCTGGCTACAACTTCCCTGATGTAATTAAAAAAATTTTTTTTCACTTTCCTACTAAGCCCCATGATCATTCTGTGACTTTTGAGACAACTGATCAAGAACACTCCTTGGGAATCCAAAACCCATAGTCACCATACCTTCTCAGCTGACCACTCTGCCTTGAGTGTCATTAACTGGCTCAGCAGCTGCCCCTCGGAAGTTACTCTTAGATCGGACCTTTTAGCTAAAGGATCTCTCGCAAGATCAAGACGAGTGTACAAGGGGGAGAACGTGTCTGTAGTCACGCAGGTCACAGAGATATTAAACATGTTGTGTTTGGAATGCACCCAAACCTGTATGGACTGGAAACTAGCAGCAATACCTTTTGACTTATCTTGTATAACCAAAGGTGATGTTTCTAACATAAAAACACCACCATGGCTTGGGTCAGGTGCACCTGAAGGTGACATCTTTGCCTTTTAACAAGAGGTCTTTTGCAGACGCTTTGCTCAATGCAAATCACTTTGATCTCTTGACTGCTGCTTCCTTGAGTGTTGATTGTGGATCCAAGAAAGA